TATTTTTATCGTGGTCATCAAACAAAATAGAACTATTTTCTAGCACTGTATAAAGTTGAGCGTACTTTGTACATGGTATCGGGATGGTTAATTTTGCTCGACTGAAATATTGAGGAAAGCATTTTTCTTATTTGGTACTTACAGGCAATGCACACACTACTCTACAGGTATTCAAACATGGTTTTTTAAATCTTCGTCAACATTAATATACAATGAGTTATACATACTATGTATTTATATATTATTACATGTACCAAGTAGTCTGTGTCTGTAAGAAGTCATATTTCATTGCTAATCGATAGCGTATACTACTCTGCTGGGTGATCTTAGACAATCCAGAAGAAACCATAGAAGTAAGTTTCTCCTTAGGTTTCCATTCGTCATTAGCTATTATTTACATTCATCTTTTTGTAATGTTATGCGATTAAATGTATTCGATCGGATTTCCCCCACTTTAGATTTTACTTAAACTAATAATCATCAGTCAGCTTTAAATGTAATTCAAATGTAGTTGATGATTTTTGTCGGATGTTTTTTTGTATGAATTAGCGCTTTGACTGAATTTTGCCAATAAATCATTCCGTTCTATTCTACATTTAGAAAAGATAAATCTCAATTAAAGTATAATTAAATTGAATATAGTACCTGTTAAATCATTATAAGCACTAATTAAAAAGTCTAAGTTATAAAATCATATTCAAGAAGTAAAAATAAATGTTATTTTTAAATTGTTATCAGAATTACAATTATTTCACATTGAAACTATATATCAGTTGGACTTTTCAGTTGTATCATTTGTTAATTAAACATACAATTAACAAAGTATATTTGATAAGTTGTAATCTATAATAATGATGGTAACAATAATGTGACTAATAATAATAATAGTCATAGTAGTAATAATAATAAGTACAAATATATGCAAGAACCAATAGAAAAGTAATGACTGTCACAATTGAATCATATGGTTCATCAAGAAAGTATAAATTGCAAATATTAAATTTTAGATATATTTCAAAGTAAATAAAAAAGAAGAAGAAAGATACTAAATGGTAAGAGGTGACATTATTCATAATATTTTTAATCATTTATTAAGTAGTATGAATGTCTGAATCTTTTCTTTTTATATCAAGTTTACAAAATAAAAAAACAAAACACTACTGTATCATATTGACGGTTACAGATTTTAATATAATTCAAATGAAAACTATACAATATAGTCAACTCAGTGATTATTTTTGGTAGATAAGACAATTAAACTTATTTTATTTAATGACGAAAGTGTTTTAAATACAGTTTAGCTTAATAACTCTGGTATAATGAGTATTTTGTATAAAATTACATATTATTAAGCAATTGAATACGTCTATTAGATGTTATACTTAAGTCTATATATATACGAAAAATGCAATGACTATTTGATATGCATTTAGTAAAATTGTAGTTCTTGTACAAGATACCACTTACGATTGATTATCGTGATAGTATCATATAATGTTTTAATATTATTCCTAAAATGAATGTTTCAATCATTTTTATTAAAAAAGTCAACTTTTCTCTTATATCGTCACGGTAAATTGCATGCCTTGTTATGATCCATTTCATCAGAATAACTATAGTATATAACGATGGGAAATAGCCTTATTACGTCCATTAAACTTCAGTAAATTTTTGATAAGCAGGGTTTCGACGAATACAAATTTGAATGAGGGTAGCTACTGGAAGGCCAAATGTGCTGATATTCCCATTAAATTTAAAGATATATGTAACTGAATTTAAATTTCATTCATTAAGAGATAATTATTATACAACCCTATTAGTAATATATTTCATACCTAATTATCCAAATAATGTACAAGTTCTGTTGCATTATAAATAGGAGTAAATTCAAACAAGTAAAGTGTTTAATAAAAATAAAGTAGGAATGCTCCTCATCAACAAACGTTCTTCGGTTAAAATCTTGCATCTCTATGAAAATCTCGATGAACAGTTTTATTGTAATGCTAATCATCAGTTATTTATCCATAGTAGAGGGTGACCCTATTTATAGACTTGTTGTAATCAGAATTATTTACACAAAAAATGTTATAGGTCTATCCTATGAAATCACTTGAATAATGTTAGACTAGATGGTCTCTACAGCTAACAACAGTTTATTTGTTTGATATAGATCGATTCTAGGGAACATTTTATGCTTCAATTGATCATCGATTTAGTTTCAGATCACTCAAGTATACCGATTTAATGTAGTAATAATAATATATTTCACTCAATAAATTGAAAGATAAATTCATATTTTTTTATTAATATTAAGGTGAAGGAATTGAAATTAATAAATGATGATAAAGTGAGTAAAAATCTCGTATTTACATAATGTTATAACTTCTTTTATTACGACCTAGCTACTCATACACGGTTAGACAGGAAGGTAATTATATTCCACATAAAAAGGTTAGATGGAAGTAGGAATCACAATAAGAGAAACATTAATATATTTATAGTTTTTACATAAGATTCTAGTCTTCTCCAAGTGACCACTAGCGCTGATTGGATAAGAAATAGTCAATCAGCGTGCTCCAACATAATCCTGTGTAGAACGTGCACTGATCGAATCTATATTCTGCTAACACAAATTTAAAATGATAGCTATATTTTCGGCTATAGATGATGCCATATTACTAATTGATTAGGGTTAGAAATGACGCTCACAAGTTTTAAGCTCAATAGCTGAATAATATACAAGACGAAAGCTGAAAATCCCAGACCGAATTCTATGTTGTCACATTTTCTAAGTTTGCTCAAAAAGGCAAATTCAGTGTGCATTGAAAATCACTATCACACTAATTTACATTGATGTAAATGATAAACTACCTGAAGACTTAAGTATGTTTAAGAAGGAGATAAGAAGCAGTTGATGAGATAGATGAATCAACTGTACCGCTTTACAGTTGTAATTTAACTTATTCATATGTAACTCAGAAAACTTTTCTGAGGACTTTGCATTTTTATATTTGTTACAGAATCAAACATTAACTAACTAAATGAGGATTTGAATGGAAAGGGTGATAATAAATGATGCAGTGTTAAACTATAACCAGCTATAAGCCTACATATATTGTAGGTTAGATTTATGTCACAATTGAAATGTACACATTTTAACGTGATAAACTGTTGAACAGTACCACATTCATTTATTTCAAAGTTTTAGAAAAAAATAATATTTTTAGACCCAAGTTCCCATCAAAATGATTGGTTGTCATTGATTAAAAGTGTGTCCATACTTGAAAATATTTGTGTCTGAGATTCAACATTTTTTGTTAGGTCTTTATGAAATGGAGTATTCCGGCTTCTTTATTGGAAAGACAAACTAGGACATCGTTGAATAAAGGTGAGTTTTTAAACAATTTGTTGAATACTGTTTCTAATAACGTTTTATAATGAATCCGAATTGAAAAAAAATTACTAGATGACGAAACGCAAATATCTATACTTTATTAGTGCAAGATTAGAGCGATTTTAATCGGTGTAGGAGGTCTGTAGAAATTATTGAATGTTATTGATATCATGAACAAACCTAAGTTAGATATCCACTGAAAACCAGAAAGCGCTAGATAACTGTTTCACCTTGGTATGTGACCCAGGAACTTCAGTCCAGATGCCAGAGATCCCCATTGGTGAGTGAACACACAATGCTGAGTCTTGTACTAGGATAAAAAGGCCATCGAATGCTAGCCGGTTTTCAGTGGATATCTAGCTTAGGTCGGTTTGTGATATCAAAAATGATTATGTATGACATGATAGTTATCAGAAATGTGTGTATATTTTAAAAACGAATATCACCATTAAAATCCAGTGAGATAGATACTCATATATTTTTAAAAATTATCAGAATGTGTAGTTATGTATCTTTGTATATGTATAAGAAGGCTGTGTGAAAATGTCCTCAGAATTATTAATTAATAATTTTGCTCCATACAAATCAACTTGGATATTTTATTCAAGCAATGAATTAGATTCGTATTACTTATAATCAGTCTACATCAAACTATGACATCTAATATGTTTATTATTATGAGTTCATCCTCTTAAAACTTCTAACAGTTATCTCTATTTCTTATGTGTTTACTGAAAATTTGTTTATGTTTGACAGTTTCCGCATGTTTTAAGTTCATGTTTCGAATCATTGACTAGAATTGTTGTATTGATACAACGAGTCTTTACCTAGCTTATTGTACATTTTTGTCATTAATTATTATACCGATTGTAGGATAAGAAATAAGCAATAAGATTAAAAAGGTTTTTCTAAAAAGCAATGCTATAACGATAAATCTAAATAAAATCATGATTCATAACTATGTCGTTTCCTGTTAAGCAATTCACTGGATTCACGATGATAGGTTAAGATAGTTGAAAAAACCCAACGATCGCTTATCATGCAAAGTAATACAGTTAGGAGAAAAAGTTTCAACAAACAGTTTGAATAGGGTTTTACAGTGATTAAATTTTATCATTATCTGTTATTTGTAACAAGTTAAAATATTCATGAAACAAGTAACATATATAATGAGAAATGTTAGACTGGCGTATGGTATCACTAGAATTTAAGCAGAACTTTAAATCAGTTACAGTTGGAAAAAGAAAATGGTTTTTAAACAATCTATACCTTAATGTAATAAAGCACACAAATTTGGTTAAATTGGTGAGTAGATGGATGAGGAGGATATTCAAAACACATGCATGTACTAATGCTGAGTACAAAAAATAACAGTATCGATTTAGAGCAAATAGGCATCAATGAATGGTTATTTATTATTAAACATTATGTTTGATTTAGAAAATTTTCACTCTTGTTTCTATGGAAATATTATTGTTAGTTAATGTCTTACAATATATTTTATTATGACATTTCATCAATTATGTAACATGTAACTAGGCTTTAGTTTAATTCTTAAAATTAACATTCATAAAACGAAAGTAATTTTCTTGTCTATTTCCATATGATGTATATACATGACAAAGAGTGCGATAAAAATACAGTGGAAACAGGTGATAATTTACAAGCTGATTCTACAGTTGTTGTAGCTGATTCAATGATACAAAAGAAAAAGAATCTAGTGAAATGTATGGAAACATTGGATGATTCTTCAATGACACTGGAAGAACATACTATAAAAAAGGTTAGTTTGTAGAAGATTTGACCGAAGTTGAGGCGTGTTCTAATATTTGGCTCACCAATTGTAGCGTGGTGTTGAATCGCGATTGACTATGAACACCGCTACAAGACTACGTGTCAATTAACCAAAAAGATTCTCGTAGACCAATATCAGAAGGCAGATAATAGTGGTAGTTGAAATATATTCGCTGGCAATCTCGTGGTATCGAAAGAATACCGAGATCGTGCCAAAGGAGTACAAATGCGATCGGCAAGGAAAGGTACGTGCGTAGTCACAGACCGCGCAGAAGTAATGGAGTACAATGGAAGACCAAAAATGGCTGTTATTAGCACAGTTAAACAAACGAGCACAGTAAAACAGTCACTGGTACAATTGGTTATAATAATAATAATGGTTTTCATTGAACCAATCGCGTTCTGTTGACAAAAGTAGGTCATTACAGGAGCCCCCCGCTAGAAAGGGTTTACACTTTCGATAGTTAGCGGTTTGGATTCGTGGGACTGATCGGCAGAAGTGCGGTTGTAGGACGGAGGAATTGGCGGAACAGGAAGTGATCGTTGATCCTCGAGTTGCCAACGAAGGTCTTTTGGGCAGAAAGGTACCAGGAGAAGTGTGCTGTATTTGCTGGTCGAGTTAGCATACCACACAAGAGTGATTTGTATCCAGGATCTGATGATTGCGTTCGTATGGATGCGGACCAGAAAACGCTGCAGACGTAGGACGAAACCACGTTGAGCCAAGAAATCGGAAGCGAACATAACGACCAAGCGTATGCCAGGCGAATTCGAGACCAGATAATCGATTGAGTGCGTTGACTAGAGCATGGGTGGCCAAACCAGCTTTTTCCAAAGTTGACTGAAGTCGACGTTACCAAACGGGCGATGGTCGGAGGCGTGGGCTCAGGATACAAAAAAATCAAAAAAAGAAAAGTGTAGCATGCGTGTAGTATAGGAATCGTCCTACACCGTTTCCAATGTTGACTGTTCGGTTAGTCGCGAAAGCGTACGGATAATCGTAATCGGCGACCGGAACGTGAGACGGCAGTCTCGTTCGTACTTCGTGAGCCTGCGATCTCATCCGAAGTCAGGGGTGGCGTGGTCTGCTGATCTGGACGTGAGACGGAAGTCTCGTCCGTAGATGGCGCAGATGGCTCGTGCTGTTGACCGGGATGTGAGAACGAGGTCTCTGATGTATCTAGCGTGGGATCCGAGGTAGACGTAGAGATCCCGCTAGAAAGTTTGATAGGTCTAGCATTGAGTCTCAGGTTATCGGGTAGGGCACTGTCATCGACGTGTGCTGGTTTGAGACGATCAATGCTGACGATCTCGACGCGGCCGTGTCGATCAACCTTGAAGGTCTTTTCGTGACGAGAGATCACGTGAAAAGGGCCTTCGTAAGGCTGTTGCAAAGGTTTGCGTACCGAATCTACTCGTATGAAAACATGTGAACAGGTAGATAACTCTCGAGGGAGAGCGACCTGTCGATGTTGTATTCGAGTTGACACCGGAAACAGCGTTCTCATAAATGCAGACAGTCTATGGACGTAGTCTGATTTACCGAAATCATTACTGCTCCGTGGTGTGAAGAATTCCCCAGGCAGACGCAATGTCGTGCCGTATACAAGTTCAGCGGCGGAACATTGAATATCTGCCTTCAAACTCGTTCTGATGCCTAAGAGAACGAGCGGTAAGGTTTCGTACCAATTGTCGTTTTCATGTGCTCGAAGAGCACTTTTAAGTTGGCGATGAAACCTTTCGACTAAACCATTCGATGCTGGATGGTAGGCGGTAGTGCGTATGCGTTCCGTACCAAGCAGCCGGGTTAGTGAGGAGAATAATGCGGACTCAAATTGTTGTCCTCGGTCAGTCGTGACAGTCGAGGGACAACCGTACAATGCTATCCATCGTTCTACGAAGCGGTGAGCAACTGTCTCCGCCGTGATAGACGTGATGGGAATAGCTTCGGGCCATCTTGTAAAACGGTCAATGCACGTGACTATGTGATCATACCCATGCGATGGTGGCAATGGTCCTACAATGTCTATATGAACGTGATCAAAGCAAGCATCAGGCGTAGCGAACGTGTCAATGGGGGCAGCTAGGTGCCTGTGCACTTTTGATCGTTGACACTGTAAGCATTGCTTTACCCACATACGAACATCTTTATTCATGGACGGCCAGATGTATCGTGCAGTGATGAGACGTAATGTGGCTGCGATACCTGGATGAGACAATCCATGAAGGGCATCGAAGACGAGACGGCGATAGGTAGAGGGTACGATGGGTCGAGGAAGACCGGTAGAAATATCACATAGGATAGTACCTGAGCTAGTAACTAGAGGTACTTCCTGACACTGAAGGGACGAAGATTGTGGTGCTTCTGTACAGACAGGATCGTTTGCTTGCGCGGCGGCCATAGCAGGAAGATCGAGCACCGGTAAGGTAACTGCATTCGTCTGGATACGTGATAGAGCATCGGCAACATAGTTCGACTCGCCTTTAATGTGACAAAGGTCTGTCGTGAATTGGGAGATATAGTCCAAATGTCTTCACTCTCGTGGTGAGTAGCGGTCAGACTTGGTATGCAGGGCATACGTTAAGGGCTTATGGTCGGTGAATAAAATGAATTGACGTCCTTCTACTGCGTGCCGGAAATGTTTGATGGCGCAGTAAGCTGCAAGCAGTTCGCGACCAAAAGCGCTATATCTCGTCTCCGTGGGAGTAAGGCGTCGTGAGAAAAATTCAAGTGGTTGCCAACTACCGGAGATATTCTGTTGCATAACGGCTCCTATAGCAAAATCCGATGCATCAACCGCTATACTAAGCGTGGCTGATGGGTCAGGATGAGCGAGAAGTGTAACTTCAGCGAGAGTCGTTTTGATCTCTGAGAATGCAGTACGTGCGGTATCGTTCAATTCTAATTTGCGTGGATTACCGCGTAGTAAATCGGTTAATGGTCGTAACCGTTCTGCCGCGTGAGGGATGAAACGTCGGTAGAAGTTAACCAAACCGAGAAAAGCCTTCAGTTCCTTGATTGAGGACGGCACGTTGTACTCCTTGATTGCTCGAACTTTGTCCTCGCAAGGCAGAATACCCTCTTGTCTGATAATGTGACCCAGAAATATTATTTCTGATTTACCCAATTCACATTTCTCTGGGTTGACTACTATTCCATTATCCGAAAGACGTTGGAATGCTAGCGTAAGGTGTTGATAATGTTCATCTACGTTTGATGATGCGATTAGCAGGTCATCAATATAGACGTGAACAAAATCCAAGTCTCGTACTATGCTATCGATAAACCTTTGGAAAGTTTGAGCAGCATTCCGTAATCCAAATGGCATTCGTAGGAACTCAAACAGACCGAAAGGAGTCGTGATAGCAGTTTTCTCGATATCTTCAAGAGCGACTGTGATCTGGTGATATGCTCGTACCAGATCGATTTTAGAAAAGATAGTCGTGCTCTTGAGCAATGCCGTGATGTCGTGTATGTGGGGGATGGGGTAGCTATCAAAGCGCGTAACTACGTTTAATGCTCGATGGTCGCCGCATGGGATTGTGAGAAGGACGGATAATACCAGTAGATAGTGAATTGTCAAACTCACGTTTAGCGAAGGCTAATTTGTCCGGTGCCAGTCGGCGTAGTCTTGCCGTGACTGGTGGTCCGCGGGTGACTATGTGGTGTACCACACGATTGGTCACCGATGAAATCTCCTCGAGTGGTTTAGTTATTCTGGGGAGTTTCTCGAATAAAGCGTGGAATTTATTGTCGCGCGAATAAAAAGTGCCGAGGATTCGGTACGCGTACATCGGAGTCTATTATATTAATACTATTCTTATCGTTATCCGTCATGTCGAGTATATTATATATTAAAAATTAATATGAAAATATACGACAGACGTGGATAGATAAAACAATAGACTCACCGAATTGCCTTCTTTGGAAGGTTTGGTTGCGATTGCCAAGTGTTCGTAGATGTAGATCACGTCGGGCTCACCAGTTGTAGAAGATTTGACCGAAGTTGAGGCGTGTTCTAATATTTGGCTCACCAATTGTAGCGTGGTGTTGAATCGCGATTGACTATGAACACCGCTACAAGACTACGTGTCAATTAACCAAAAAGATTCTCGTAGACCAATATCAGAAGGCAGATAATAGTGGTAGTTGAAATATATTCGCTGGCAATCTCGTGGTATCGAAAGAATACCGAGATCGTGCCAAAGGAGTACAAATGCGATCGGCAAGGAAAGGTACGTGCGTAGTCACAGACCGCGCAGAAGTAATGGAGTACAATGGAAGACCAAAAATGGCTGTTATTAGCACAGTTAAACAAACGAGCACAGTAAAACAGTCACTGGTACAATTGGTTATAATAATAATAATGGTTTTCATTGAACCAATCGCGTTCTGTTGACAAAAGTAGGTCACTACAAGTTAATCAGTTTATTAAATTGTTTAGTTAAAATGAAATTTTTTTGAAGGTATTATATTCTTTAAGCCAGACGATTTAGTCAACACAATACATAAATAATATTCATTCCAAAACTGCAAATATTCTGTATCATCTCAAAAAAACTGTTAGATGGTCACTACTGTACAAAATATAAATATACATTTTAAAAACTCAAAGAAAAACTATTTTAGCGTAATAATCATAAATTTGTGTGTTTTCTATTAGACCAATTATGTCAAATGATTGATCTAAGAAAGTAATGAATATTGTTAATACATGGTTTGTATCTCAAGCTAATTTGGCTAAATTTAGAACATTATCGTTCTGTCGAAATCAAATACTCTTTTTTTTAAAGACTTGATGGCTACAGTATGAGTCTTCCTCTAAAATAGTTTTAGGTAATATATTCAACAATTTACTTATCAGTTGTTTTCTCGTGTAGCATTTACATATTATTTGGTGAAAATGATTATTCCATACAATATCAGCGCTTATTTTCAAAACAAAATAATGTCACAACAACAAATAATAGTACATAAATTCCAGAAGTTAGTAAGAATTTAGAATTAGATAAGTCCAACAACACTCCCCATGAAGTTGTTTTGTATTTAATTAGTCAGTGGTGTGAATCATTATTGATAGACTTATTTCTTCCAGATTCGTAAGTCAATAACCTATATTTTTATATTAGTCTCTGCAGCTTAAGATTGGTCGCCAAACGATGAGCAAAGTAAAATGTTTAAAGCAATGTAATATATATGAAACCATCTGGAAAAATAAGCGCTTTTTAAATCCAAACTATTGTTGTAACTTAATTGGTTACTCAACACCATTTCCATTATCATGTGGTCCGAGTTCTTAGTAGTTGGCGTTTTGTAGATATATATTCCACAAACTCACATTTGATGATTAAACTAGAGTGTATTTCTTATCAGCTAGTTTCTGTAGCATTGCAATAAATGTTTTCAATTCACAGAAGTCTGATTCGAAGGACAACCTAACTCAGAAAAACACGACTTCTACATCCAGTAATGATTTCGCGTCAAAAGATCCAATATCCACTATTATGTCACCAAAGGCTGAACGATATGTTCGTAGATGGTTAACAGATGCTTCACCATTAGGTAAGTGGATAATTATGTTTCAGAAAATGTATGAGAGTAGTAAATGTGAGGTTTAATTAATAATTTTCAGTATATTCCAATGAAGTGATTGCGATTTCACTGCCAATTCTAGTTACAAGCCATCCCCTAAATTATAAGAAATGGAAAACTAAGATTTCAAATATGAAAATAAAACTGAAATTTATTACGTTTAGAGAACTTTGGACGTTTTGTTAATAGTAAGTTTGACAGTTTAAAGTAATTCTACAAACTAGAAAAATAAAGATTTCATAATATAAAAATCTATAATCAACGTATCTATATCAAAATGATTGATCTGTGAACGCAAAATAGTAAAGTAGTAACAGAATAAAAGCTGTGGTAACAATCATGGTACATTATTTGTATTTAATGTTAAACAGAATTCGTATATAGATGCACAAAGCAAACATGAAAAGTAATTTATTTATAAGGAAGCTGCAATCTGAGCAAACAGATCGTTTCAGCTGAAAATGTATCCGTACAAATATTTGTCAGTTCTCAGTGTTATTCTTTTCAATATACCAATACGCATCCCACAGGATCATCACGATTTATATTTTAACCAAGGTAGAAATGTTTTATCTTGTAAATGTTTGGATTATTCTGATGTTGGTATTCTTGACTGAATTTTGATCAATTTTCATTGTCATATATACAATCTGTGCGGCTTACTTCAATGTGTCCACCTTTTAAAAAGTTTTACAGAATAGGTAAGTCATGTCTGGGAGTCAAATCCCGAATGCACGTTTAGCCTTCTTCTGAACTTGTCAGATGGATACACATGCAATATAATATTGATAACCACATATGGACTCCAACACATCACTCTTCTCTTCAAACACCAGTGAAAGTACACCCAGCTGACGAATCTCAAGTAAGATGAAACCTACGTCCTGTATTAGGCTGCTAGTCACAATTGTGAGACTATAAAGTTACCAGAAATGTAGAGTTGTGATACAAATTCATTATGTGTATCGTGGAACCTGGGACGTGTGTACAACAGATCAACTTGCAACATCCTAATAGTACAACGAAATGGAACGGTCAGTCAGAGCAAATCTTAGGTGGAAATAATATTAATGGTAATAAGAAACATTAGACAACGAAGATACGATTCGAGAAAAAAACGGATTAGGTCAAGGAATACAACTATAGTGGGACGTTGAAGAGTGTGTACATTTTACAGAAACCACCAAAGGATGAATATTTGGTCTACAGATTTATGTCCAGTTCTGAAACCAGCTTGGTTTCCACAAGTTTGCTCTTCAAGAGACCTAGTTAAGAGTTGAATGATTATTGAGGCCGGCGTTTTAGACAATATGCTACTTAAACTGATTCCTATGGAGTTACTACAAGAGGTTTTTTTTCTTCTTTCTAATAGACTCAAGTTATCAACGATCGAGACCAGTTAGACGGGAGGTTGTAGGTGATATCTCAGTCAATCTGAAATACCTTCCCTAAATAGTTTAGGGTTAATCCATTACAGCCTACTGATTTCGTTCGATCAAAATCAGATATGACTTTTTCTACATAATCAGTCGGGGAGGTTATGTCGATATCCTATTTAGGTTTCTTGGTAAAAGTAGGCAACTCTAGGGTATCTGGATAGCATTTAAAATGGTTTTCAGGATGTCCTGTCTATCATTCCACCTTACAGGGTTGAAAGTGGATTATTGTCACACCATTGGTAGAGATAGCTTCCCTAACTCCCGAATATCTAATATAAGTTTTTTGGTAATTTTGGAAAATTGTCCACTGTTACCTATAGCTTGCCCAGCACTTTTTACAATCTCTGGTTCGATTTTTCATCAGTCTATGTTTAATTTGCCTTTGCTCCACATCGCGTTCGGATTCTGACGGGACATTTCTGAGCATCTATTAGTTCAGCGTAAAACTAGAAAATACTTAAATAAATATGCCCGTGAGTGGCGTGGATAAACGAATACTGAGTATAAAATACATTATGACATTGTAACAGCTGAGTTAGATCCTCAGGTAACTAACATTGTCCATTATGTTCCATTAGTTAGATGCAAGTAATATCAACTCTGAAAGAATGTCTGCTGTTGAGATTGAAAAAAGGGAAGCTCACGTGGAGCTGGTCTATAATTCACTGTGTTCGTATGTATACAAATTCAGCTGTCAGTTATCACGTGTTCATTAGTGACCAGTATCGAGAGGAAAGTCCCGGAGTTTAGTGAGAAGCAGTGACCAATGGAAGCAACCACGTCGCAAGTAACGGCAACGCAGCACCGTTGCAGAACATCGTGAATTGGGTGGTTATTTATATAAACCATTGAATGTCGTCTCAGGTCCAAAACAGAATGTCGTGGATGCGCACTTCTGAGTCACATACCAGAACGAAACAGCTATCCACCGATTCCTGGTTTTCTAATTAAATGTAAATTGCGAAATACAACAATCTCTACAGACATCTATGCATGTTCAAGTAAATTAGTTGACAGAAATTGATTTTCAATATACATGTGTATTTTATTACTATGTATCAGATGATGGTTCTTTCATCATTTAGAATTAAAACAATAAGTAAATTACCAAAGGAGTTTTGTCAACAGTATTTAAGTAACTTAATATCTTCAGTTTGAAATATACACTTGATACTAAAAAGGTGTAAGTATTTATGTCATATAGAATTTTTTATGCAGTGAAAGTTAAATGTGTCCGAAACACTATAATATCGATTTATTTAGTGGCACGCAATAAGTTTCCTTGTGAGTTGAAGAAAAATTTCGGTTACTAAAACTGTTTACCTTTATTTAATTTTCCACGCATTGAACGCATAAATCCTATTCTTATTAATTTCTGACTCGATTATAACATTTCACCTATATTTTGTTAAATTTAGAGCGCACAACTGCACTGGAATTAATAGACAAGCTCCACCGTGAGACAAACGAACAAGATCAATTAACTGATACTCAATTTCAAACCGTTATGAAACGAGTTAAGAAGTGAGCTAGCTTGTGATATTTTTTGAGTAGGAAATAGAGTAGAAGTAACACATATACAGTAACAATGTTATTGTGCATAACAGCAAACACCTTTCTAGCATTCACCTTAAACAAATTATGGTTTAAATAATATGTCGGTTTATGGATAGCCAAAATGTTGTTAAGAGATCGAATTAAAGTGCAATTAACTGGACAATTTAAATATTATCGTCCTTATAATCTGAAATATCTAACCAAATGCTAATATGCGCTTGTTAGTTATGACAATGATTTCTTAATATTTCTTCGTATATCTTATCCAGTTGCTTGAAAACAAAATGAATTGATGATCGATTCGTTTCAGGTAAGGTAAGTAGAATAACGTACAGCCCCAAACATTAAAACACTGGTAAACATATAAACTAATAACTAATAACATACAAAATATATTGCCTAAATATAACTTCAAATTAATCTTAAGAACACGGAGCAAGAGTCTGAATGAAACAATTCTATGCCCCCCAAATGCCCTAGTATGGTCGAGGGTTAGGATTCCGTTCTGCCTATCGAAATGCTCTCACATGGCTACGCGTATAAAGCCACTGCCAGGGAAGTCCTACTCACTACATTCTCGCGGCCGGAGTGTTGTTTACGGAATTGAGAGGATGAGAAGCGAATGTTCGGGCATTAACCGGGTTGGTGGATACGTAGAGTTGGAAAATCCTGATTCCAAACCAATGGTGCACATGGGCTCCAGAATCCTGAAGGAAGCAATGGTGTATAAACCAATTGTTAGTTACAGGCCACCATAGGACTACATCTCTTTATGTTGCCCCACTGCCATATGGATTAGACCTCTAATTCAAAGGCTGAGGGAGTGGCTCTCTAAGGAAGCCAACTGCTTCGGTTTGGACAGCAGTATTCCAGATCTTACACAAATCGAATGACAAAATGTGGCACATATGTATTTGGTGCCACTTCGTACCAATATTTATGTGTTCAAATAAATAAAAAACAAATACTTCTATGAAGATGGCTGATAAAACTCAGTCAGTCATCAACAACGTAAAACTTCGTACGTAGGTACATCGGTTCGAGTTGTCATACCACATCAGCACAGAGATACAATTGTCGATTCAAATCCCGTAGTGGTAGATGTAGTAAAAGTATAAGCAGTAATCGCGATTAGGGTTTGAATTTGTTATTCAAATAGTACAATCCAGTGACATAAATTTGGAAAGAGAAAAAAAAGGACATGAAGAATTCGGATTCGAATTTGGGAGAACACAAAGAGTGGATGCACCTGCGCCATCGCAAACGATTTTGAGCCATGTCATTCAAGGTCTCTAGCCATTGGTTGCTATCGTCTCGCGGATCCTAATCAGGTAGTCTATACCTACCAACATGTTTCAGTTCACTTGTCAGTGGCTTCATGGATTTGTGCCATATTTTGGTAAGAGATAGAAAAGTAAGAGTAATTTGCAGTAAACATTTGTCAATATATTGTGATTAGAGAAGATCTAGACAGGTGCACGCATGATGCTGTTTTAAGTATTTTCAAGATTTCTGAATGGCTTGGCGATTTTACTAGCTCTCTAAGTCTTCATATACAATTATTAATTTTCAGAGTGAGTTCAGTCTCCATACTTTAAATTAAAATTAAGTATAATTGATATGTCAGCCAAGGCCGTACAGATCATATACTGTCGTAAGGCCATATGATAGGAGAGAGATCCAAGTGTGGAGGGGCTTCTACTTAGATATTTCTCTTTAAGCCAGTCCGGACATATTAATTACGACAGTTACAGGAAATATTATTCAGCTTTGGCAACAAAGCTCGCCTTTCAGTCATTGCCTTCTCTCACTGCATAGTGGATTAGTAGCTGAGTCGGACCCCAAAACACAAAAGTAATCCATAATAATTATTTACAATACAAAACTGTATAAGAAAAATGGAACACTAAAGATTTCATCAGGTTTATCTAGGAGAATTCACTACGGGGAATAAACAATACCGCATTACCAGAGGAATTATAACTATATTTGTAATTCAATCGTTTAGAAACTAGCAAATATTTTTAAATTTATTAGGGGGAAGGGTGATCGATAGATCTGTGAGTGACGAACTAAAGCCTATCCGATTTGTTACTTTCCATGAACCTGATAGCCAACGACCACGATAGGGATTCTCACAAACAATCAAAATGATCGTCGTCTTAGGTTCATAAGAGCTAGGATCTTAATTTAACTAGTAAACATATAGTGTCAACATAAAATGATTTGAAGCAGGATGTATCAGAACAAATCCTTTCTATTCGAGTTGACAAACCTTCAATGACAATTCTTATTCAATTTTGCCTCCTTAAGAAAGATAAAGCAATGTATTTTATGCTTTGTTATTACTTTCCCAGTTTATTAAGTTTCTTACACAGCAAATGATACTGTATATGAAGTTCATTTTTATTCTTTGTGGAAGGTAATCTCATTTTTCACACCAGGAAAATAATTTTTGCTCTAATTATCAAACGTTTTGTAACGGGATCAAAAACATTTGGTTTAAAAATTGTTAAGAATAAACTGAAAATATTTTTGTTAATCATGTATATTTTAAGAAGTCCTTGCATAAACCGAACTATTGTAATTATATGGTGAATAAAGATACATGACAAAGGAACACAGATTTTGAATTTTTGAGGCCTGAGAGAAGATAAAATATTCATTTGGTTCTTAGTCCTAACATCAAAGTATTTTTAACTAGGCACGTACGTTAACACAATACAGAGATGATGCTATTCTTCGTATAAATTTAAATATTTTCTGCAGCATTAACCGTAATCAAGACAAAATACCACACCCCGTGTTTTCTCGAAGTGATGGTTCAACGCATTTCAAGTATTTAGATCTACTAACTCAGCAAGAAAGAAGGGATCATTGGATGTATTGCAGTTGGCATCACTTACCTCCATATAGAATATCAAGTATGGCTAAATACGACTACCCTGGATCACATTATTTACATTTATTGGAAAGGCAACCAAAAGAATATGTTATTCATCCTGACTTAGGTTAAAGATGGAGAAATAAATAATTAAAATTTAAAATTTTCAAAAGAGAGTTCCAAAGTCGTGGAACAAATCTGTAAAATATTTTGTTGTTGTTGGATATTAATGTATTCACATAGTATCAAATAAAAGACTCACATTAGAAGCGTAAAATGTTTTTTTCCATGGAGAGACTCTAGTCATATATTGTCATGTAATTTAAATACCAAGAATATAAAACCAATTACGTTTATTTGCTTTTATAAATTATTTACCTTATTACAAAAGACATGATTTTAAACTCATATCACACACACATGCTTAAAATGATATGTTATTAGTTAGGAAAATTTGTCTATAAACATTAGAGAATTGTCTTAATACAATAAACGAAGTTCAAATCTACTGGGGGTATTTCCACAGAACCAATGATATTTTGCAACCAAATCGCAACACTACGGATCATTGTGGAAAAATCAATTCAATGGAATTCATCACTCTACATCAACTTCATTAACTACGAGAAAGCGTTTGACAGCGTGGACAAGACAACACTATGGAAGCTTCTTCGACACTACGGCGCGCCTAAGATCGTCTATATCATACGGAATTCCTATGATGGATTAAACCGCAAAATCGTGCACGGAGAAAAATTGACAGACTCGTCCGAAGTAAAGGCCGGTGTCAGGCATATTTGCTTACTCTCACTGTTTCTCATGGTGATCGACTGGATCATGAAGACGTCAACATCTGTGGAGAAGCATGAGATACAGTGGACAGCTAGGATGCAGATGGACGATCTAGACTTCGCAGATGATCTGGCTCTTCTATTGCACACGCGACAACAAATGAAGGAGAAAACGACCAGTGTAGCAGTAGCTTCAGCAGCAGTAGGTCTCAACATACACAAAGGGAAAACCAAGATTCTACAGTCAGTCAGCTGCAACGTAGGACCAGGCACGTATATGCATCGGTCCAAGTTGCCTTACCGCATTAGCACAACAAGATAAACACCAGACTCATAAAAGTAGTCAAATCAAAGGTAGTAGTATATAAAAGAAAGATTGTGTATAAGGATATAATATAGGAAGAAAGAATTCGTTCGTAGAAAGAAAGATATGAAGTGATTTTAATCTCTTAGTTTGAAAGAAGACAGAGAATGTATACGCCATTGTGATCGATTCCGAGCCATGTCACCAAGAGTCTCCAACCATTGGTTACGATAGTCACGCGGACACCAACCAGGTAGTCTGCATCTACTAACATGGCTCAAACCAGAAGTTAGTGTCTTCAAGCACTGATGCCATGTTTTGGTTTGGCCGCCCTTAACTTTCTTCTAATTATCCCTAACACCAGTGAGCGTTGCGCGTAGTGGTAATCGGTGTTCAGGCATACGCAACACCTGGCCCAACCATCTCAGTCGATGAAGATTCATAACCTCATCAACTGATTTAATCTCATCTCCTAATACCCTACGTCTAACCTCACTATTACTTACCCGGTGATCCCAGCAGATACCAGAAATATTTCTAAGGCATCTGTGGTCAAATACTTGTAGCTTACGAGTATCTTCTACTCTTAAAGGCCATGTTTCGCAGCCGTATAGTAGAACAGAACGAACTGCCGCGCAGTAAACTCATCCCTTAATTGATAGACGGATATCTCGCCTTGGCCATAGATGACGAAAGTTGGCAAAGGCCAAACGAGCTTTTCGAATCCGTGCTGAGATTTCGTCAGACACCAACCCATTAGGGCTGATCAGACTTCCAAGATAAGTGAAGTTGTCAACGCGTTCGACTACTTCATTCCTTATCCTTAGTTCAGGTGTTGACACAGACCAGTGCTGGAGCAACAACTTGCATTTAGAGGGAGAGAAGCACATCCCAAACATTCTGGCATTGTTGCTCAGCGTCTTCACCAAACAGGACTATGTCATCTGCGTATTCCAAGTCGATAAGTGGACCTCCTGGTAGGAGATCAATACCCGATAATTCAGTCGATGAGAGTGTTATTTCCATCAGGATGTCTATGATAAAGTTAAGCAAAAAAGGAGAAAGTGGACAGTCTTGACGGACCCCACTTGAGGTTGTAAAAGCAGATGACAGTTCGCCATAAGCTCTGACTCGACTAGTAGTGTTCGAGTAAAGAGCCTTCACGAGGTTTATGTACTTCTGAGGTACGCTTTTCAATGACAGACACTGCCACAGAACCTCTCGATCTACAGGGTCAAATGCTGCTTTTAAGTCAAGGAAGACCACCATTGTCGGACGCCGATAAGTATGCCTGTGCTCTAGAATCTGACGAATGGTGAATATGTGGTCGATGCAGCCACGACCAGGTCTGAAGCCAGCTCGATTCTCTCGTGTTTGCAGCTCACGAGTCTTAGTTAGGCGTCCGATAATCATCAAGGCTAGTATTTTAGATAATATATTGGTCAAACTAATCCCTCTATGGTTGTCACAGGATGATTTTGACCCTTTCTTAAATATTGGAACGATAAGTGATTGTGACCAGTCAGAGGGGATAACGTCTAACTCCCAGATTTTAGCTAAAATATTAGTCAACCTAGTCGCTAAAATTGGACCACCATCCTTAAGGACCTCTGGAGCCAATCCATCTGCCCTTCCTCGTTTTAGACTAACTATAGCCTCTTGAACTTCAGCTAGAGTTGGGGGACCTACTTCAATGTTTCATTCACACTGTCTGGCAATGCAGAGTAGTTGTAGAGTAGCTGAAGGCCAGCTAAACTGCTCCTTAAAATGTTCCGCCCATCGTTCTAAACGTCTGGACTGGGACCAGATGAGAGTGTCGTCTTTTTCCGAAATAGTCTGACTTACACTTGACTTATTAATTCCAGTTTCTTTTAGTAGTCTGTAGAGCTGTCTTGTGTTCTATATAGCCGCCGCCTTTTCCATCTTTTTGCTTTCGTTGCCCACCACTGCTCACGATCGTTTCTTAGACTTAGATCTGATTTGTTTACCCTCTTCATCGTGTCCAGAACCTGGTGGGATGAGTTTGCGAGAATCTATCAGTGCAATAAACCTTCAAGAAATCCATTGGTTCCTTGTAACCCTGTGGTTTAAATCACTAATTTATGTCACTGTTGTTTCTACAGCTAATTATATATCTTTCCAAGCAACATCTGGGTCAGCCTCGTTTTCAGAACTATCTAAGTGTGACCTCAGTTGTTCCTGGAACCTACTTTTGGTTTTCTCGTTACTCAGTTCAGTTCTAATGGGTCTTTTTAATGTGGCTTTTTTGCGTCCAGCAGATTCGTGCCCGTATTAGTGCGTGGTCGGAGTCCAAACAGGTACTCCAGAATGAGCGATACAACAAAGCATGCAATAATTGAATCACACTTTATGGAGAAGCTTTGGAAGATGTAGAAACCTTTACATTATCTGGGCAGCATCATTGATGAACACGGTGGATCTGATGCAGATGTGAAGGCACGGATCGGCAAAGCAAGGGAAGCATATCTACAACTGAAGAACATCTGGAACTCAAAACAACTGTCAACCAACACCAAGGTCAGAATTTTCAATACAAATGTCAAGATAGTTCTACTGTATGAGGTGTAAACTTGGACGATTACGAAATCCACCATCCAGAAGATACAAGTGTTTATTAATAGTTGTCTGCGCAAAATACTTCGGATCCGTTGGTCAGACACTATCAGCAACAACCTACTGTCGGAGAGAAGAAACTAGATCCCAGCAGAGGAGGAAACGCTGAAAGTGCATAGGGTACATATTGTGGAAATCACCCAACTGTGTCACAAATCAAGCCCTCACTTGGAATCCGCAGGGCCAAAGGGGAAGTGGGAGACCAAAGAACACATTACGCCGAGAAATGGAGACAGATATGAGGAGAATGAACAACATTTGGATAGAACTAGAAAGGAAGGCTTAGAACAGAGTGGGTTAGAGAATGCTGGTTGGCAGCCCTATGTTCCATTGGGAGTAACAGGTGTAAGTAAGTAACTATCTTTCATTGGAAGGAATCGAATGTTGACGGGAACAGTAAAAATATCTAAATGAACAATGGTTAACACGTTTCCCTCTCTTAAAAGTGCACTTTTTATTCAGAAACTAAATTAAATATGAAACTACTGTCTTTATAAAAGTGGTAAGATCCTATAAGATGCAAATCAGAGAGAACTATAAAAGAGCAAGAACAAACATTCTAGCAGAATAGCATGAATTCAATTTTATTTCGTTGGTTCTCGTCAGCTGCTTACAACCTGTGATATTTAAAATTATAATTACATAATGGGTTTAAATTACTTACATGAAAAAAATTTTTATCGGAAGTTATATTGAAGGCATATTCGTATAGTATAGCGAGGGCGTAAATAAATTTAATAGACTGAATATTGTAAATATATACCTTATATAAAAGAACATTGTGACAACGGTTCAAAGTGCTAGAAACAAGTAAACATTGATAGGAAAAAAAAATTGAGTAGAGTTCAGTTGATAAAAATAAGATTAAAAATTTTTTGGAGGATAGTTGGAATAAAACTCAATGATGGGACTAAAATTTCATATACCAGAAACAAATACTGACAGGATTGATACAGAAGCTCAATTCCAAAATCTGTTTGACCAGTTAAAAGATTTGCAGCCAATGAATGAGGAAAAGAAAGGATGGTTCAAATCAAAATTAGTTGATATTGCTAACCAATACTTCGTGTCATCGACACCAAAGTCGAATATTTTATCCAAAGAACATCTGACAGCCCTAAGAAACATCAAACAAAATAATGAGGTGATGATTTTACGACCGGATAAAGGCTCAGGTGTCGTACTAATGAATACAGCTGATTATGTCGCTAAGATGAAGCCAATCCTAGACGATCAACTGAGATTCAAGGTAGATAAATCCCAAAAAGATCTAACTGATTCAACAGAAAAACGAATCACAGGCATACTAAGAGAACTTCTAAAAAGGAAAATGATTGGTAATTTTACTTATAATGATCTAAAACCACGTGGCTCACGCCTACCTCATATGTATGGTTTACCAA